AAAAATTTCTATGCATGGAACATGCTACTGAGCTGGCCTACAAGGCTACTACCTTCTCTACATTTAAACCCCCTCGTGAAGATCCTCTTCTATAAAGCCTACAAGAAACTAGCTAACTAAGACATTTATTTTATACCATTAAAAAAAGCTTCACTACACCATGCTGCACAGTAGCCCTCAGTGAGTACCTCATTATGACCCTGATCCGTATAAGCAGAAAATGCACACCGATGTCAAAGGAGCTCCATCAGGACCTATCTTACTGATATTACCCCTTTCCTTTCCTCTCTTCCCTAAACTTGTTCCTAGTGTCTCATTACCCCCTCATTGCATCTTGTCTAGTATTAGTTTTAACATTCTTCAGAACAGTGACCATTCACCTTATTCTCCCCTCACTTATGCCAATGTAAATAAGAATCAGCAGTCTGAGTCAGATACTATGTAAAACAAAACCCTTAAGTTTGTCCTAAGGAATTCTGTGAAAATTGTAAAAGAAGTATCAGAAATCTGTAAAAATCCAGTTGAAAAATTAGATCTCTTACCTCTCAGTTACTTTGCTGAAATTATGCAACACAATGATTTCATAATGTCTTCAAAGACTGTGCTGTTGCTGCTGGAACGGGAAGTCTAAACAACCACAAACCTATTTTGCTTTGATTTCCCTTTTTATTCAAAAACCCTAAATACTCTAACATTTAAAAATAATTCTTATGCATACAATGTTTGGTTACAAAATAAGCCAACAAATTGAATAAGAATCTAGAAGAAGATCATATTTAGAGACTAAAGATCTTTGATGTCATCTCTTTTAACTTCTAACCAGCTGCTGGCTGTGTGTCACTTACCCCAGAATGTCACCAAAACTGGTTATATGGTCACCAACAGGGGCAGGTCAGCCAAACTCATGCATCCCTCCAAAGACATTCATTTGGCATTCAGTCATAGTTAAGATGAAAGTTGCTATTGTCACATTCTTTGCATCCTTATTTATCATACTAATTTCTGCAATAATAAAAAACAGTATTGACCCCAAACCAGACAAGTGCAAACTTAATCATGTTTTGGAAAGTTTTGTGTGAAAATGTTTGCAGTTTTACTCAGACCAAACTTCTCTATATGTGAAATAACAATTAAATGACTTTTAGTATTTCAGGTAAGTGATAAAATATGAATCTCTGCATGTTTTCATTGCAAATATGTTTTCACTCAGCAGTGATTCTTTTTTATTTAAAAAAATCAGAAAAAGTACCATTTTCTTGTTTGTAACAAAAGTTGAAAATGTTATTTTCGAGGAATGCATTTAATTTTGCATGAATATTTCAAATGCACCCAAATTTATTATCATTTTGCAGAATTTACATGTCCCAACAATGCCGAAAAATACACACAGCCAAACACCCATAAAAAGAAAGTAATTTGTATTACATTTTGATAATCCAACCATACTTTTAAAGAATCCCCCCAAGTTGTGCTTCAGAACTCCACTTTCATTTTGCATTTTTAGAGAGAATAGTGTTAGCAGATGCTTTATAAAATACACTTATGGATGATTTCTGACAGACTGAAGATCTAGACAAGTCCCTAACATTTTATAGGCAGTAGACAGAACCTCTCTTTGCTCATAACTTCAGCAAAAGACAAACCAAACTAAGGGCTTCGATGCTCCACCTTCAGAGATAGCCATTACATGGAAACCAACTATTATCCAATTATAACTAATAAGTCTGCATTTATTGTCAGATTGCTTGATTTTGACCAGTTCCTCTGGTCCAGAGAAGATGCTCACTGTTGTTTTTGTTTTTCAGTTCTTGTTACTTTCATCAAAAATTTTACCATCTGAGTCTTTACTCCAAACTCATAGCTTACTACAGTGTAAGCACCTTTGACCTATAATACCCTTTCTTCTCACACCTCTGCCATGCAGATTACACCCATCTATTCACATTCCAGTTATGAGAATTATCCTAGCAGATTTTAATTACAGTTTGCCCATTAGATCAAAATCTCTAAAATTTAGAAGTGTTTCTGGTTCTTCTTGTTTGTTTCTCAATACTCCTTGTATGCATGTAGACACATTAGTATGCTCATACTCTTCATCTTGTTTCAGAACAACTCCATTGTCAGTCTTTTTTTGCTGGAGGAACATGCCAGATCATGTGAGTTAACCAAAAACTCTCCTCCTCCAGAAACCTAGTTCAAAGCTCACCTAACAAGCCCTGTCCATTTTGAATCCAGAAGGGTGGCACCCCCATGTCCTTAATTGCATACAGTCATGTCTCATGGCAGATGTAATTCCAGAGCTTCAGAAATCCAAAATCCTCTCTCCATCACTGTTGATGAGCTGGAGGTTTCCATTATCAGTCTTCCTTCTCCATTTGCGCTTGTCATCAGCATGATTGCTAAAGAAGATCACCTGCATGGATCCCTTGCTCAGATGCTTGTCCAGACCTCTGAGGTCATCCTCTATTACCAAAAACTTCTTTTACAGGTGTCAGGTGTCCCCATATGAATTATGATCAGTAGGAGTTGTCCAACATTTTACAGAAATCTGGAACCCTTACTGCTGATATGCTGGCTCTCAGGAGCATATTTTCGTTGTTTGGCTACAGGTTCCAGATTTGATTCTCATTTCTACTAAGGCCCTTTTACACTGCTCTGGCAGTTGAAAGATGCCATAAAGGTGGGTATTTTCCACCGTTAAGGCCAGAGTTGTATAAAATGGCTGTAGTGTAAATGAATAACAGGCCCATTATGTTCCTCATTATAGAATCACTAAACAAGATAATTTGCCCTTCTCTCCAGTTGCTCCATTTCAGTGCTTGTGCCTACCATTCACTGTTTGGGGTGCTGACCTCATCTGGGCTCTTCTCAGTTGGATCTTCTTCTGTCAGAAGCAAATATCAGTTTTAAATACATGCTTCCCTTCTGTTCTTCCCAGTTTTTAGTTTTCCTTGTGGTTGCATTCCTCCATCTGCTTTCAATTTCCACCTCTGTCTTACCCAGGGCACCCCACCTTCCCTGTGTCTCCTACTTTTTTTTAAATGTTGTGTTTATATTCCATGGAAACGAAACACGATACTGTACTTCCTTTTTTGTATTATCAGCTACAATAGCTTTCTCCATATCTCTCTTGGTGATCATTCCTTCTATCCAAGTTGGTATCCTAGCTTTTTCTTGGTGGCTTAATTACTGTTATTGCCCAACAATCTTTTCCTTCAGAAAAGAAATGAGCTTGCACTTCATAAATAGTCATTATTAATTTAAAAATTGTTTTTGAAACTTTTACAATATACAAACATTAAAGGACATAAAACCTGGGTATATAAATTAATATACATTGTGCTTTTGTATGTTATAATAACAAGTGCGTCTTTTAGCAACTTTCATCATCAAAATGCTTGTTCCCATGTTTATATACTGAGCAACAAAGCAGTTTACCCGAGCAACTAAAACAGGTGTGAGTTCTTTAACTATTTTTTCCCTGACTTTATAACTGTCTGTCCCCAGTTTGGGTGGGGGGTGAGGGGAAGATGAATGTGTTTTAACTGGCAACTGAACATCTGCAGGCTGCATGTCTACTGCGCTTATCTCAAGATTTCAATATATTAAGTAAAAAAAGTCATTGCTGAAACATAATAAACTGTACAAACATTCATCTTTAGCACTTCTAAAATGTTCTTTTACCTTGAGACATGAAGGAGCAAGGCCTATGATACCAATGATTTGGTCCCTAGTGTGATGTCTTGTAGACAGCTATATGAAAAGAGACCACAAGCTGGAACTGTATTTTAGGGGAGCCAAACATGATTCTTTGCACAGTTTAGATTTCAATAGATTTTAAATTCTTTTCTTAACTTAATATACATCATTGTTGGTGTAAGTGCAGTAAATATGCACCACATAGCATTTGCTACAAACTTAAAACTATGTTCCCCCTCCTCACCCAGACTGGAGACAGACCGTTATAAAGTTGGAGGAAAACAGTTAAAGAACTCACACTCATGGGTACAGGTGTCTGTGTTGGTGATTCTTGTTATGATATTGTATGAAGAGAGAGACATCATATAATGTCTAGGGTGACCAGATGAGAGGAAGAAAATATCGGGACCCATCGGGGAGGAGGGGGATGTCCGCCGGCGGAGCAAAAAATAAAAGCCGGCAGAGCTAAATATCGGGACAAACACCTAAAAATCGGGATGGTCCCAATTTTATCAGGACGTCTGGTCATCCTACATAATGTCTCAATATATTTTTAACTTTAGTTTTAATCTCCCTCCCCACGGTCCCCCCAACATCAGAGGGGTGGGATAGCTCAGTGGTTTGAGCATTGGTCTGCTAAACCTAGGGTTGTGAGTTTAATTCTTGAGGGGGCCACTTAGGGATCTGGGGCAAAATCAGTACTTGGTCCTGCTAGTGAAGGCAGGGGGCTGAACTCAACTCAATGACCTTTCAGGGTCCTTTCCAGTTCTATGAGATAGGTATATCTCCATATATTATATTATTTATTATCAGAATTTCCAATGAGAACTGTGCTCTCCCTCACTCTGGTTTAACTGTTTATTTACAGCTCTGGTGTTCCAGAAAATGTATATCTTGTTCTAATACATCAATCTTAATTTTAAGGCAACTTACAGAGAACTCTCTTCCCCCTCTGTTTGAAACGTTTTTTAAAAAAATCATCTCTGGAAACACCTGCTTCCTGACTCAGGGCTCATTGCTCAGTTCCAGGAAGAACATAATTTTTGCTCCCTATACAGTTTTGTTTGTGTCCCTCCTTTCTGACAGTTAGCTCCCAACATCACACCTGACAGCATTATATTCAGCCTACCTACATTCTCAATTGGGTGTCCAAATTTTAAAGTGACTGGGTATATTAGAGATGTGTAAAATTGTAAGTGGGGTTGATTTAGATACTGATCAATGATATGTCAAATAGCTCAGCTCAGTTGGTGTTTATTAGTCAAAAATAGATCAGCACAAACAGAGAAGCAAATACATACCAGTCCCTGGGAAACGGCTCTGCAGCTCGAATCTGTTCCAAAGATAATAGAAAATACCCTAATTATCACAGACCTTTCTTCTGTTTCTTCTCTAGTTTGTACCTCCTGTTTTTCAGCGTACAGAGAGACACCTACCTCAAATATTTCTAGAGCCAGCACCAATTATCCTGGCATCTTATCTAGCCCAAATATTCCTGATATTTGTGCCCACCACACTAATTATGAGTTGGCAAACCTTAACAAAACACACATCTCATTTCTGACAATTCCTGCATATACAAGAAATTGGGGTTATACAATTTTTTCTGGCTAATACAATCCTACTGTAAAGCTTAGCATACCTAAAAAGGTATACTACGAGTTTGGTTCATAGTTATATAGCTTAGCATAAACCTTCTAAAATATATGGTAGTGGCTAACAAAATAGATTCAATGTTGCACCTTCCACTGTGATGGAAATCTGACTTACTCCCCTTAAATGGTTTTGTCTTCTAAATGTAATTATAATAGATCCCCCAATAATTTTTTCTGCAAATTTTGAGTGAGGGAATTCTTTTCCTAGCTGGGGCACTGCCTATATAGATATCCCTGGATCACCATATACACAGTATATCTCTTCATAAATTGATTATATTTTATTTCACGTGCCTTTTTGTTTGGGAAGGCTTTGGGTTTTTTTCCCCCTTCAAGTCTTTTTTTTAGTCTCTGTGACTCACTTATCCCATATGCTCATTTTCTTAGCTGCAGTTGTTTCAAATCAGAGAGGCCATAGACACCTGAATTTTATAATCTGACAGTTAACTCCCCTACCAGTTCCTTCACAGAGTGACCTTTCTCCTCCTCATCATCTGTGGGAAGAAGGCATCTGTTCATTCCTGTGGATTGTGTCTACCACACTTTGTGTTCTTTCTCCTTTATGCTTTGATATGGCTCTTTGGCAACTAACTTTCCATTACAATCCGAAGGAATACCACTCATCTTCCCAACCTGCACTTGGTAAAACCTTTTAGAACCAACTTTTGATGGTCTTACTCATGTAAGTAATGGCTCTGAAGTAATTTGTTTTGGATGGCACAGCAGCAAAATGCTATCACTCAACTGGAGTTAAATGATTTTTTAAAACTCTCATATGTTAATAATGTACATAGACTGACTGTATAGCACAAATCCAGCCCCTCCTCAACAGTCACAGAGGGCCTTGATGAAACAAATGCAGTTCTGTTGCAGAAAGGATGAGGGAAGAATTTGGGATCTTCACATGGGGATTCCACACCTCTGCATGTGCACAGAGGTCTTCTCTGTGTACATTCCTTGTACACTGTACTCCTCTGTAGGGGGAGAGCACCAGCAGCAGAGGCTATTACAGCCCTCAGGACGTAACAGTGCCACAGAGCAGTTTCATTGTCATGCTGCAGCCTCAGGAGAGAGTGTCCCAATTGAGAAATTCAGGCACAGCCCAATTCTTAGGGCTGTATGTTGGGAGAAGAATTTTCTCCACAGATTAAAAAAATAAAATTAAATGAAAAGGCTTTCTGTGTGTTTGATAGTGTCATGTGGCTTATTATTAGATTGTGAGGCAAAGCCATGTTGATGTCAAAGGCTGTAATTTCCCTTATTGAACTGAAGTAATTCAGCCAAGAAACACCAGCGAGATACAAAGGCAGCTCAGGCTGGACTCAGAAAGCCTTAAAACTGTACTAAGGAGCTAAGGCCTGATCCATCTTCTACTGAAGTCAATGACCAAACTCTCCCCCTTGAGCTTCTTTCTTCCATCATTTCTCCTTATCCCACCTTCTCCTCTTTAGTCCTCACTCCCCACCTCACTGCATTCTCACCCTCGGCTTCTTCCCTCTCTCATTCTCTCCCTTGGTCCTCTTTCTCCCTGAAGGTTTTTGTTTCTCTTTTCTGAGAATAGACGTGACCTACTTGGCATGTTGCAATACCATAGGACATATATATCCCCATGTTTTCTCTTTCCCTTTTTAACATTATTGTCTTAAGCGTGCCTCTCTGTAGTGCCTCTTTGTTCAGACCCAAATTTGCCCACATCCCATAAGGATCTTGTATTTCTCTTTAATTATTACCTTGCCCCAGATACTCATCCAGTGTAAATTATAATAGTTCCAGTGACATCAATGGGGCTAAACAGATTTACACAGTGGAAAACCTGGCCCATCATTATTATGTATTATTTTTTAATCACCTGGAGGGTCCAGGCTCTATACAAGACCCAGTATTAGACCAATCCTTGCTCCAAACATTTACATTATAAACATAGGCTGCCACCAAAGCTCTGGATTAGAGCATCAGCTGGAAATTCCAGAGCTAGCTCTGTTTCAGGCTCTGAACTTAGTATTATAAGATCATCTTTAAGTGTGGCCTCCATCCGTCCCCCAGTAATGCTGAATCAGACACTATTTGTTGCCAACTCCTGTGAGTTTTGTTGCAAATGACATTTAGGGCTGGTGCTGGTCCCTATTTCCAGCCCTTTGGCAAGTTCAGAGGTGGCAGAACCCCCTCTGATTGGCTGCCTGCCCCACTTCCCACCTCCTGGGGAAGAGCAATCAATCAATCAGAGCTGCTATAGGAAGAGTGTGCTCTCTCTCTCAGCACCACCAAGCCATTCTCATAGGACCCCAGAAGCTCCCTCCTCCCCCTTCCTTCTTGTGAACAGCTGGACAGGCCTCTGCTTCTCCTGCTCCCTCCTGGGCCTCGGAAAGGGCAGAGAGGGTGAATTAGGGTTGCCAATCCTACAGTATTGCCTTGGAGTCTTCAGGAATGAAAGATTATGATCTTTAATTGAGGATTATCATGTGACGAAACCTCAAGGAATATGTCCAACCAAAATTGGCAACCCTAAAACAGCAGCTGAAGATGTACAATCTTATGTACTCCCACCCCAGAAAGGGGTTAAGTTGACTGATGCGGGGGCTGGAGCTGAACTGATGGGGAGGTGACATGGGGGATGAGAGGAGGTGACATGGAGGGCTGCAGCTGAACTGCTGGAGACTGATGGGGGAGTAGAAATAAATCCTGTGCTTTTAAAGCTTCTCACACTGTTCCTTTTATGTGTGCCTCAGTGAGGCCCTTGTTCCCCTTTGCACCCCAGCCAGGGGCCTGAATGCCCTGAGAGGTGTGATCTTAAGTAAGGTCCGTGGTGAAACTAGTAGGGTAAACGCCTTAGATATGCTTTCGCCCGGCAACAACTTACCCGCCCAGCCTGGAGTCAAGGAGAACACTGATTGGCCCCAGCCTCCTCCAATGGGTTGCAGCGAGTGCCCGTGGGACTGGGGAGTGTCACTGCGCTGGGAAGCGCTCGGGGATCTCTCCGGGGGTCGGGCAGCTGCCTGTCGTGCTCCGCACTCGCCCTGTGAGAGGATGAGGAGGGCGCCCGGGCGCTCGCTGGCTACAGGCTGGGTGGCTCTGCTCGCAGCCTGCTGCTTTGCGCGCGGGGCATCCGCAGGTAACGCACCGCTGGACTTTTACCTTTACCTGCTTCCAGGCACCCCCCCGGCCCAGGTCCCTAGAGCAGCAGGGCCACAGCCCCGGGGAGCCTGAGCCCAGCCCAGGCAGCTGGGCACCGGAGAAGACTCGGGAGCTGGGGTGGGGGGAGTATCTGCAAGGGGCTGCGCTGTCCCATCTGCGCTTTGGTGGCGCATTTAGTTGCAACTTCAGGACACTTGGGGGAGCGGGCGGACAAACGCCTGTAACTAGCTGGGAGGAGCGGGCGCCTGTGGCGAGGGGCAGGATCCCCTAGTGGGAAGAGATGTGCGCCCCGTGCAGAGGTGAAGGGGTCCCCACTGGGGGGAGGGACCGTCCCAAGGACAGGCGAGAGGGCCCCACCGTAGGAGTGAGCGGGGCAGGGCTCAGCTTAAACGCCAATTCACTTTTACTTTCATTCCCGTCACATTTGCGGCGAGTCCCCTCCGCCTTCTCCACCATGTAATCGTCCCCTTTGCGTCTCCAGAAATAACACCGCCCTAGACTGGCTATGTCCTGGCCTCAGTACCTGGAACCGAAACACCCAGGGAAACCCAGCCCCGAGAGATGAGAGTTCGGGTCCGCAGTATAAGGAAGTGGCGCAGCCCTCTGCAGCCGGGGAATTTCAGCTCGTGCGTTTGTGTTTGTTCACTGCTAGGCGAGGCAAAGCAAACTCTCCTGCTAGGGCCAAGGAAATGGAAGAAGTTTAGTTTCGATATAATGTGACAAGGGCAAACCAAGGTATTAAAAGCAGTAGAGGCAAATAGGGTAGATAGCAAAGTCCAAAGAATTGCGGCCTGCTTAATTCCTAGTCTGTTTCACTCTGAAAGTGACCCTACTGCTAGAAAAGTGCTGGTGCAGATGTGTGTAGGATTGGGGCACTAGGGAGTTCTTCCAGTGTGTAGTCCCGCTCTCAGGTGCTGGACAAATTCTTCTGGCAGTCAGGGTGGATCCTACACAGATCAGCTGCTGATTTGTTCATCCAAATAGGGATATTTTAGAATATTAAGTATTTGGTGTGGCAGATTAGCTTTCATTGGGCTCTAAAATTTAAAATAGTCTAAGGCTGATTTCTCATGATCTGATTACCAGTTTTATTCATACACAGCTTGGTTGAACAATTGACAGTTGTTACAATTTGATGAATGTTGTCATCTGATGTTCATAAAAAGGACTTTGAATTCATTTGTAACTCTATTGAAAAAAGGTCCACATCACCAAAGCCATTCCAGGTATTCCTGTTGGCAGACTCAGAGGAGAAGCCAAAGATTGAATAGATTCATAGATTCTAGGACTGGAAGGGACCTCGAGAGGTCATCGAGTCCAATCCCCTGCCTTCATGGCAGGACCAAATGCTTTCTAGACCATCCCTGATAGACATTTATCTAACCTAGTCTTAAATATCTCCAGAGATGGAGATTCCACAACCTCCCTAGGCAGTTTATTCCAGTGTTTAACCACCCTGAAAGTTAGGAACTTTTTCCTAATGTCCAACCTAAACCTCCCTTGCTGCAGTTTAAGCCCATTGCTTCTTGTTCTATCCTTAGAGGCTAAGGTGAACAAGTTTTCTCCCTTCTCCTTATGACACCCTTTTAGATACCTGAAAACTGCTATCATGTCCCCTCTCAGTCTTCTCTTTTCCAGACTAAACAAACCCAATTCTTTAAGCCTTCCTTCATAGGTCATGTTCTCAAGACTTTAATCATTCTTGTTCCTCCTTTCTGGACCTCTCCAATTTCTCCACATCTTTCTTGAAATGCGCTGCCTAGAACTGGACACAATACTCCAGTTGAGGCCTAACCAGAGTAGAGCGGAAGAATGACTTCTCGTGTCTTGCTCACAACACACCTTTTTATGCATCCCAGAATCATGTTTGCTTTTTCTGCAACAGCATCACACTGTTGACGCATATTTAGCTTGTGGTCCACTATAACCCTAGATTTCTTTCTGCCGTACTCCTTCCTAGACCGTCTCTTCCCATTCTGTATGTGTGAAACTGATTGTTCCTTCCTAAGTAGAGCACTTTGCGTTTGTCTTTGTTAAACTTCATCCTGTTTACCTCAGACCATTTCTCCAATTTGTCCAGATCATTTTGAATTATGACCCTATCCTCCAAAGCAGTTGCACTCCCTCCCAGTTTGGTATCATCTGCAAACTTAGATATTGGCATAGCAAGTATGCTTATTAAGTCGTTGATGAAGATATTGAACAGAGCCAGTCCCAAAACAGACCTCCGCGGAACCCCACTTGTTATACCTTTCCAGCAGGATTGGGAACCATTAACAACTACTCTCTGAGTACGGTTATCCAGCCAGTTATGCACCTACCTTATAGTTGCCCCATCTAAGTTGTATTTGCCTAGTTTATCAATAAGAATATTATGCGAGACCATATCAGATGCCTTACTAAAGTCTAGGTATACCACATCCACCGCTTTTCCCTTATCCACAAGACTCGTTATCCTATCAAAGAAAGCTATCAGATAGAGAAGGTGCCAGTAGATGGAGAGCTGAGGCATGCTGGTTGAAGTCGTGTGGGAAGCTTTTCTAAATTCACTTACAACAGATTTTTTTTTTCAAAATCCACTGTCCCTATCTGTATCCTTTACTATCCAAATGGCTTGGAAAAATCACATTGCCTTCCAGCCTGGGAAAGCTTGCCATAGCTGCAGGACAAAGGATGCTGCTTTTCACATGCCCAAGAGACAACCAAAATGCACAATATATCTTTTTCTCTTTCTTTATCTCATCAGGTACTACTAAGGTGCCTATCAGAACAGTATCTAAGTGCTGATTACATCTCAGTTGTAATTTCCAATCTCTGCAGATGTTCCAACATAGTCAGATCCTGAGAAGAGAAGGATTACAACTCAAGTGGATACTTAAGCTATGATTTCTTGGTGTTTCTCTGTTCTGCACTTCTAGTGGAAGTACAATCTTTTAAGAATCATAGCTATGTAGGGCTGGAAAGGACCCTAAGCAGATATGACCAGGCCAAACGTGAGTGGACCTGTGACACCAGCCAGGCCACAATGCCTGGAGTAGGAAACCGAGCCCACCCAGCCCTGTGGAACAGGAGCCACAGGAGCTGCTGCTCTGGGGTGTGTGTGGGGCAGACTTGCTGTGCAACCCCCCTCCCCCGAGCCTCTCACACCCCCAGGAGTAGGACCCATCCCACTTTACCACTTGAAATGGGGGAGGTACGTACTCCTCTGCCAGCATAGTTGCGACAACACTAGGGGTTTTGCTGCCAGAACTGGGTGTTTGAATTTTTTCACACTCCTAGCTGACATAGCATATGTGAACATAACTTTATAGTGTAGGCCTTGCCTATAGGACAGTTTTATCATAATACTGATATAGTTAAACTGGTATAAGCCTGTGGACACTCTTATTCTGGTATAAGAATTGTTTGTTTGTTTTTTCAGTTTAGCCTCAAATCCTTCCCAACTGACATAAGATATATTGAAAAAAGGCCAGTCAGTATCCACATGGGAAGTTATACTAGTGTAACTATATCCTTTTAAATCCACACCTTAGGTTATACCAGAAAAAACTTTCCCATATAGGCAAAATCTAAGTCACTCTTGAAGGGACCTAGGCTCCCTAATTCTTCTGAAAATGTTACCTTAGTCCTAAGGCTGGTAAGTGTTGGGTAAATATTTCAAGCCCTGGTTAATTGTATGGTTTTATGGTTGTATGCACATTTCCAAAATGGGATAATTGTCCATTATTATATGATGGTTATTATTAATTAATATAACAGTAGCAACCAAGAACCCCAGTCTGGATGCGGGTTCCAATGAGCTGGACACCATACAGCCACACATTTAGAGACAGTTCCTGCTGATTAGCAGATAAAGATGATGATGATCATTATTTATTACTGCTTGTGTATCAACTACAGCGTGCTAGTTGATTTACCACAGGCATGCAAACAAGGTCCTGGTCCCAGGCAGTTTGCAAATCAATCCAACATTTGATCCAGTGTGCACTGACGTCAATAGAAAGACTCCCATTGACCTCACTGGGCTTAGCTCAGCCCTGACATTGTAAACTCATTTTATGCACATTTAGAAAGAATTATTTTTGTTTTATTAACAGAAATTTTTCACTAAGGAAGATGAAATTAAATGTGCTACTAACACTAGGGTTTATGTAAGTTGTGCCAGTGGTAAGTAAGACTGTGATTTTGTCACAGAGGTCACAGAAGTCACAGTATCTGTGACTTCCAAAGACCTCCAGGACTTCAGTCGCAGTGGCTGGGAGCTGCCAGATACTCCTGCCGCTGCAGCTTCCAGCCGCCGCAGGGGACCCCTGCAACCTCTCACCACCATGGGCGGCAGGGGATACTCGCAGCTTCCCACCGCCGCAATGGCAGTGGGACCCTGCAGCCATCTACCGCCATGGCGACGCGGGTACCCGGCAGCTCCCAGCTGCCCTCAGCCCCCGGCTGCTGCAGCGGCAGGGGGACCGCAGCAGCTCCCCATCACGGGCAGCAGGTAGATCCCTGCAACCCCTGGCCACCATGGGTGGCAGGTCATCCCTGCAGCTTCTCACTGCCGTTGCAGCAGGGGCAGCAGGGGGACCACCACAGCTCCCCACCATCGTGGCAGCAGAGTCACCCTTCAGCCCCCAGTCACCCATGGCATTGATCCCTGCAGCTCCCCGCCACGGCAGGGGGACCCCCGCAGCCCTCCACTGTTGTGGTCGGCAAGGGGATCACTGCAGCTCAGCCATGCTGCAGAGTGTGGGGGGACCCCTGCAGCTCCCAGCCTAGGTGAAGGGGGACCCTGGCGCTCCAAGCCCCCATGAGTGGTGAGGGCCCCAGAGCTCCTATCCAGCCCCTCAGCTGCCCAGAGGTTTCCCAT